TCACAAGAGCGTCACAGCGCAGCCTTTAAAAAATCCCACTGAGGAGAAAATTATCTTTAAACAAGCGGACTAGACAATTTTTGCTTTGTGCCAAAAATATGTAAATGTATAATTTTTTGCGCCAAGAAAAAATATGTTGATTCAATAAACAAAAATATTTTTGATTGAAGCAATATGGTTTTCCCTATATCCAAAAAACATCGCAATAATTGGTTTTTGAAGAGGAATTTTCTAATCTATGGTTATTTTTGTCAGTGTAGATCGGACTCCCAGGCCCGATGATGCAGTACGCACATGCATCCCCCCCCCCTCCTCGCTTACAGTCATTGTTCCTAAATTCGGACTTGCGCCCTAATTTCGGACATTGTGCCGTATTTCAATATTGTCGCTTCCAAATCCATAATGCGTCGACAAAATTTAACTTCCATGGGTTTGATGGAAAGGTAAGACCACCAAGTTTCCATTTCTGCCAAAAAAATAAACGTGTGAGTGATATTGCTTCCTCCAGAAATTCCTGAAATTTGAAATTTTAGCCCCACAAAATAGGCGTTTTTAAATGTGCCTTGCAAGAATTTGGGGCCCCGAACAGTGTAAGCCCGGGTTATTCTGACCACAACATATGTGAAGCTTGGTACTTTTATCTACAATATGACACCAAGTTTTTGATTTTTCGCCGCACGGTTTAGTTTTGGGAAGCGTTTTTGCAATGCGCCCCAAATTCGGACATCGGCTTTTATATGCAAAAGTGACTACTGTCCGAATTTAGGGCACGTTAAAAGCGATATTTAAGCAGTTCTGGCGACTAAACTATACCAGATAAGAAAATTTGGACGGTAGGGTAAGATCAAATTTTTTCATGAAGTTTCTATACCTTTCAAAAAATTTTCACTTTTCACAATTTTTCAAAGCTGTCCGAATTTAGGACGCATTGGTTCCTAAATACGGACACGATTCAAACAGCCCTCACCCCTATACCGTGAGCGCTAAAAAACATTTTCGGAGAGTGGAAGATGCGTCTCGACGTGAGGATTCTAGAATCCCCAGCGATTTTTCATGTTTCAAAAATTCTAGATGACAGAGGCTTTTTTCCTCAAAAACCGTCCGAATTTAGGGACAATGACTGTACCTCTCCTTCCTCGCGGAGCAGCGAGATGCGCCGCTACCCGCCGGCACGCTTGCTTGCTTCCACTTGCTCCACACACTTCAGCTCCACTTATTCTTGGTAAAGTAATAAGCCGTTGGCGTGCGACGGCGGCGGCGGCGGTGGGGCCGCTTCAGCGGCAGCTTTAGCAAATTATCGCTAAGTGAGACGTGTGGTGTGGCCACATGTAAGTGACGGCTGAGCTGCGTTACTTTGTCCCGGCGGGCTAACGAGGGTAGTTTTCTCTCCCTAAACGCCGCGCCGCCCGCGTGCTCCGTTGACGATGACGGAGTGACTGGAAAGACGCGGCGGGAGAAGCTTTCTTGGCAGACAGACATGCGGTGCTGATGGCGCCGCCGCGTCGCCACACACGTCGTGCGAATAAGAAGAAGAGGAAAGGGTCGAGGGGGTAAAGGAGGAGGAGGAGGAGGAAGTCGGTGCAAAGTATAACGCTCTGCTCCCCCGGCGAGGCGAGAGGAGTCCGCTGCCGCGCGCCGCCACCGCGCCAGGAGGGGTTTGGCGGTGAAAGGTTCCGCACTCGCGGGCAGCGCAGCGCAGTGCAGCGCAGATACAAGCCGCCGCCGCCGCCGCCGCCAGAGTAGAGGCGGCGGGTGTGGTGTTTTTAATATAAAGAGAGAAAAGAGAAAGTAATTCAAATTCCGACCACGGACCGGGCGATGCGCGTCGAGCAAGAAGGGAATGCAGCGTGCGTTGCGGAACTGCGTTCCATTCCCATTTTCGCCCCGACCTGCCCCCGCACCCCCCTCTTTCCCGAGTCCATCACCTTCAATATTTCTGACATGCTCGGGGACCTCAGGTGTACGCGGGCGGGGTGGGGTGGGACGGGACGGGGACGGAAAGGTCGCGTAGCCCCCCCTGCATACCCAATGAAGGGTCCATCCGCCGAGCCGCTCCGTCCCTTTTCGTCCCTCCGATACGCAGAGCTCACGCGCGAGCGAGCGCGGTCAGCCCCCCCATACCTCCCGCCCCCGCGCGGCCTCCACCGACCCTCTCTCTCCCTTTGTCTGCGCGAGTTACAAACAAGGAAGGCGGTGTCCGGGAGAAGACACGGCCCTGTCGTAAAGCGTACACATCCTCCTCGGTAACGGGACACGACACACACACAAACAGGCTCGTACTGATCCAGATAAGATTATCTACCACAGTTGCGGAAGTTTTACAAAACTTTATCGCTAAGACGTGTGGTCCACTACTCAATACTAAACGAATACTCGTGAAAATCAACTAAATATTAAAGAATACTAATTTTTGCTTTTGAACCGAATATCCGAGGCTCTGGACTAGAAATTAGTCAGCAGGTACGCAAAAAAACAAAACAACACAAACAAACACAACACAAAAAATAATATATGCTTTCCTTGGATGCGTTAGCAGTGCCCTGATGAGCCGATGGACAGTCCGTGGAATGGTCCGCATATGTCCGTGGCTGTCCTTGTGCAGTCCCCAACTGTCCGTGGCTGTCCTTGTGCAGTCCCCAACTGTCCACCGTGTCTATTGTGTCCATCAGTCTGTCCGAGGACCAGTCCATGACCTGTCCTCGGTTCAGTCTGCATTCATAACTACAGTCCGTCGTTTGAAACGTCCATGGCATGTGTCCGCAGCTGTCCACCACGGCTCGCCTGTCCATAGATCTGTCCGTTACCTATGACCACCAAATGTCTACGGACCGTTCCACCGGACTGGTCCGTAGGACTGTTCGCTAGTCGTCCATCGACATGTCCATTGCCTTGCACATCATCACGTTCGTGCCATGTCCGCCGACATGTCCACGAGTTGTCCATCGACTCTTCTCTAATTTTACGCACCAAACAGTTTCATACCGTCATAGTATACCCACGGACACTTGTGGACACTTGCGGACTGAGATGAGTTCAACCACTCGAACACTAGATGGCGCTTCGGAATTTTGACACATCAAAGTTTTTAATAAGTCATTTGTACGTGAATAAGTCTTTTTAACTAGTACATTTGATAATCTGTGGTTGAAGAAAGGGGTACTTAGGCTGTTCACACTTGTCCTTTATCTAGTCAACCCTTATATCGTTTGTCATATGACGTATTGCACCAACTCGCGGTGGTCATATCCAACCTCTTCAGACTAAGACCCTCCGCCCGCCCACCCTCTGTCCGGTTCGCCCGGAGTCCTCCATCGCCACCAGTGGGCGGGATGGCGGCAATTTTTGAACCAAAGATCGTGATGTCATCACGGTCACACAATGCTACCTTTTTACCGCAACACATTGCTATGGAGTTTCCTTCAAATATCCCGGACAGCTCGGGACTGTAACGCGGACAAACCTCGTGGACTGAATTGCGGACAGTGCCACAAATAGGTTCTCGGACAATTGCGGACAGTGCCACGGACACGATGGCGGACAGCATATTTCAATGAAATTTCCTTTAACCATCCCGGACAGCTACAGCTACACGGACAATCATCGTGGACAGTTTTGCGGACTATGGCGGACACGGATAGGATCTCGGGTGACTGCGGACGGCTGCGGACAAGTCCACGGACGTTTCAATCCACGGACTGGGGCCACGGACAACTCATGGACATACCAGTGGACATGTCCTCAAATTGTCCTCCTGTAGTCCGCAGCCGCTGTCCGTGAGCTCTGTCCGTCGGCTCATCAGGGTGATAATTTCTGATTTGTCCAAGGTGCTTTTAAGCAGAAGTTTTCCCGCTTGACGCCGCGCAGCCTGTTGCGCGAAACACGTATCCCGTGGTCGTGCTGTGCAGGGGCGGGGGCGGTGCCGCCGGGGGCAAGGCCACCCAGGACGGATGAGGTGGGAATATACTGCGGGCCGGCCTCAAAAGAGAGCAAGGCCGCTAGGAGAGAGAGTGTGGGGGAGAGAGTGAGAGAGTGACGGAGAGAGCAAGAGAGAGAGGGTGCAAGAGGGAGAGAGAAGGCGATAGGAAAAGGGTGGGACGGGAGATGGCACGAAATGAATGTAGAGAGGGATGCGAGTTGAGCAATGGAAGAGAGAGCGCCGGAGCGCCGGGGCCGCGCGAGTAAAGAGAGAGAAATGAGCAATAAATAGGGAATGGGAAAGGGGTGGCGGCTGGCGGGCGGAGCAGGATGCGGGGGTGCGGCCCGCCGAGGTTGCGGTGGAGTGCGGCGGGGCGGGGCGGAGCGGGGTGGGGCCTAGGTCTAGGCCCTTCCGAGGAGGGGCAGAGGCGCAAGGAGGCGTTCGTCGTGCGAGTAGACGCTATTGTCGTTGCGCTCAGCCAATTTCACGGCTGGCCGAGCCGCGAGGCAGTCTGCATTAATATCGCATTCATGGTGGCGGCCAACTGGCAGCCCGCCCCGCCTCGCCTCGCCCCGCCACGCCCCGTCGCCACGCCCCACAAACGGACGACACCAAATTAAATAGAAAGGACAAACTCCCCCGCTAAGGACACTCTGAGGTTCGCCCCGTGCTTTAGCGACCTGACTTAATCGGCTGCGATAGTGGTTGGGAGGAGGGAGTTCTGCCCTAGGGGGGAGGAGGCGCAGACAAACCTCGGCACGCGGCGCCGCGGTGGCGGGAGTCTCGCACAAGCGTCGAACGGGGTCGATTTTAATACGCTATAAAAGTGTAAATGATATGCGGCGGGGCGGATTAAAAGAAAATAAAAAATAACCTATTGCCCCCGTGGCGGGGGTGGTGGTGGCGGCGGCTGGCGGCTGTAGGCTGCTGTGTTGCTCCTTGACAAGCAGACAAGCAGGCTGCTCTTGCGGCCTTCGGCCGAAAACTTACAACGGCCCAAACTTGGTCATGAAATTACGTGCCCGCGCGCAAGTTGTCGATGACGGGGGGGTTATGTTGACGCGTCCAACCCGACTCACTCTACCTGCTTGTCGTGCCGGCGGCGGTGACGGCTTCCTGGCGGCGTGTCCGACGTGTGCGTCAAGCCGCTGACGAGGCCGCGTGAGGGTGGTGGAGGTGCTGGTGGTGGTGCTGGTGGTGGTGCTGGTGGTGGTGATGTTGGCGGTTGATGGTGGGCTGACCGCTCACTTCCGGCAGCTCTATCTGCAGGGCGGGGGGAAGGAAGACGGTGCAGTCAGGTTGCGTGTAATTTAACACGGCGGCCCCGTGTCCGGGGTCATTGACGTGAAGGAGAGAGAGAGAGAAAGACTCTTCCGCCTAGATGGGCCAGAGCACAGCCTTCACCACCGGCCATGAACCCCTACGAACCCCCAACGGAACGGTGCCCGCGTCGCGGGGTGCGAGAAGGCCGTGTAGCTGAAGCTATCCCCTTCCACCTCACCACCCCAATCCCTCTCACCCCCGAGCAGCGGGGATGGGGTGGCGCACAACCACGTCAGCACGGGTGACGAAGGGGCGTGTCAATGCTTAAGGTGATAAAAGCGGCCAAATCGGAGCGTGCGGCGCGCGCGCGCAGGACGAGCGAGCCAGGCGGAATGTTTCCCTACCCCATCCCCACCCGCAACACGAGAGGGGGGAGGGGGGATAGGGAAAGGAACGGGCAGAATAAATAACGTTTTACTGCATTTTAATCGAGCGTTCGGAATACATCTCCGCGTTATCAGTCTGCTGCTGATGCTGGTGCCAGGGGCGGCCGCGCGCCCGGCAGGGACCTAACGAAGTCTGGGCTGAGTTAGGGGGAAAAGATTACCGGAGGAGAGAAAGAGAGGGGGGGCGAAGATACACAAGCACGGCGCTCTGTGTGGAAGAGGGAAAGCGAGAGAAGGAGACGCAGAGAGATG